TTTTATCACTTCTTGTGGAATTGAGTTATCCTATTTCAAAAGGATAGAGTATCATATCGTGATACACTATCCTATTATCAAAATGTATAACCTAATATGGAGTAAATGAATCCAATCCAATGAAGAACTCGTCCAATTCTCTCTTTTATCTAGCAACCAAATGTGCATGAACCCTTATCCCATCCTTTGTACCATGAACATTGACAAAGGAAGGGACATGACAAACAAAGATCCTCCCAACCAGACAATATAGTGGGAATTTTGAAGAAAAAAAAAAATTGAGACACGGTCATGTAGGACTTCTGTGTTATTCAAGATGGAAATCAAATCTTTGTTATTCCTTTGAACCTAGCCCTTTGCAGGACTTCTGTGTTGCAGACACTGATAGCTCTGGTATATTGCTTTCTTACTCAAAGCTTTTCTTTAATTTCATTGTAGCATATCTCATATATTTGTCCCGCATTTATCTCATATTATTATGTCATAAAAATCATGATAGAAAAATATAAAACACAGGACAAAACAAGAAGTGAGACAAATAATCTCACGTCCACTTAATATCTCACCACTTTTATGTTGTGTTTGGTTGGGGTATTTGGAGAGGGATTTGGAAAGGGAAAGGGAAAAGGTGTGTGATACTAGGTGAAATGTAGGCATATTTTATTCCCATTTCACCTAACTTTTTCCTTTCCTTTTCTAAATCCCTCCTCAAATCCTCCTACCAAACACAGCGTTAAGGTCTTTGTTATCCTCATACCAAAATTTAGATGTGCATTAAATCATCGTGCTTTGATGCCATTAAACTCGGTCAAAGACAATTTTCCTCTCAATTCTTCTGTTCTAATATATTTTTACTCATAGAATTATGTAACAATCTCAAAACACTATTTTATGACTGAAAATTCATTAGAATAGAAGGGTAGACAAATTTCAAGACATAATATTTTGCGCCATTAAACTCCCACAGACATGCATGGGAGCTAAAGTTGATTCATTTTCACCTGCTCGAAGTTTTTTTTTTTTAAAAAAATGAGCATATGGTGTTAATCATTGGGTTTGACCTTCATTAAAAAAAAAAATAGTAAATAAATAATAATAAGTATTATACGTTCACTTGATTTTGTGCTAGCTATACCCATTACGATATATAATTGAAAAGTTATTTTTGACTCATAAACTGTAAATAAAGATTACACTGTTTTGAACTAAATACTTAAATAAATAGTCTCATAAAGTGCACCAAATAGAATTATATTCATTGGACTTTTATATTATAATTTAAATAAAATAATCATTCCAGAAAACAGGGGATATGAATTTTTTGAAACTTTTTGGACAGAGAATCCTAGTCTCTATGTTTTATTATTGATTATATATTATTTGCTATGGTGTTGTTCTTACTTGTTTTTGGTTCATGTGTCACAGTTAGAGTCAATGGCTTCGTATGCAGAAACCCCATGATGGCTCAAGCATCGGATTTCTCCTTAACGGGCCTCAACCTACCAGGCGACACATCAAACCCACTGGGCTCAGCCATCACCCCAGCCACTGTAGCCCAAATTCCAGGGCTCAACACCCTCGGCATCTCCATGGTCCGCATCGACTATGCTCCGTGGGGCCTTAACCCTCCTCACATCCACCCTCGTGCCACTAAAATCTTCACCGTCCTCGAAGGCACCCTCGAGGTCGGCTTTGTTACTTCCAACCTTGAAAACCGTTTTATTAGTAAAGTTCTTTAGAAAGGTGATGTGTTTGTGTTCCCAATAGGACTCATTCATTATGAAAGGAATGTTAGGTATGGAAGTGCTATCGCGATTGCTGGGTTAAGCAGCCAGAACCCTGGTGTCATCACAGTGGCTAACGCTGTTTTTCGATCAAAACCAATGATTTTTGGTGATGTTCTTGCCAAGACATTTCAAGTTAATATGACGGTGGTTGATGCAATTCAGGGGGGGATGTAGGTGATGAAAGAAGGAGTGGGAGGAGGATGAAATTTCATTAAAAGTACTTTGTGATTTTCACGTGACCACTAGGGTTTATCTTTTTACGTTCATGGTATGATGAAGAAATTCATTGTGTTTTTGCGTGTGATAGAATAAGTTTGGAGGCACACTATTTTTAATTGTATATTCATAACAGGAGTGAAACTTACACAATTATACAATGTGAGTTTTGCTTCAATTACGAGTAGACGTCAGAAAATATGATAAAAAATGATGTGTTCTGAGTAAGATTGTTATTGATAACAAAATTTGTATTTCCATTTATTTGTTGTAAGAGCTCGCAATTAACTTATTGGATATTGCATTTGTATATTTTCATGATTCATGTTCCTTTCCCTCTTTTCATATATTTTTATTGGGGTGAAAGTTTAGAAAATAATTTACATACAAAAACTTCGCATTACTCTAAATGAACTTATAATATTAATAGACAATCCATAATTAAACCAAATGCATGAATCACAAGGACACAATAATCTCATTAGTAGAAATGTAATTTTTGATATTTTTGTCATTCAAACATAGTTTCCAAACAAATAATGTGTTTAGATTTGGAATGGTGTTTTTGTTCATTCAATTTTTTTTTTCCCTCTTCAGAGTAATGCTGTGATGATTAAATTTTTATACCAAATTGACTTACCAATCAGACGTGGCACCTTTCACTGAATTATTATTTGTTGGTAATAATTGAAGATGAGAACCCATTGTTGTCAACTTTTAAATTGTTCAATTTCTATGCCATTATCCAAACAAAAATGCTATATACTTTAGAAAATATATATTTAGAATAGTTCTCAAAATTTTTCGGCTCCACAATTTTGATAAAAAAAAAAGAGTGGTGGGTCCTTCTTGTAATTGAATTTTGTTTTTTTAGTCAAACTTATAATTGATGAATTTTGAAAAAAGTAGTATTATAGTTTGCTTTCATATGGAATAATTATTGCCTTGCAGTTTCAAGTTTTGACAAAGTAGTATGCCTTTGGAAAATTTGTTGAGTAATTTAATTCTAACACTGCATTCAAGAAATTGTTGTATTTTAGTTGTAAGGATATATAATTAATGAAATTATTTTATGAAAATAATAATTTATTATTTTAAAGAACAATTTATTTATTTTTTCTCATTGACACAAGATCACTGTTAAACTATTAATCACCGAAAAAATCACCAACGTTGGAAAAGTCACTGGAAGTAGCCAGTGTCGACTGCCGACAAGGAGTGATAGTAGTGGTAGTGACATGGATAGATCGGTAGATTAGGTGGACAAATAATTGACATGTGGATACATAGGTATGATTGAACTGGCTGGTACCACTGTCTCTAACCTTGGCCTAACTGACAACTCCCAGAATTTCGGGACCCAGAAGTGTTCCCCTTTCCAATCAGTTATGGGCAGGACCTTTTAATGTGACCCGATTGTCCGCAATAGTAGTATGCAGGCGATTGGCCCCTTCCTTGGGGCTGGACTTTGAGAATGAGCTTGTTGTTGACGGCTAAGATTCCGATTACAATTTGAAGCCTTGTGGCCCTGCTGGCCACATCGAAAACAAGTGACACGGTTGGGGCCTGTACTTCCCGATCTTCTCATAGAAACAGATCCTGATGACATGGTTAGTTGGGGCATGGACTGAGAAGATAAAGAAAAGGAACTCTTTGATTTCTTGGAAGATCCAGAATCGCTTTTTGATTCGACATAGTTTAGCCTCTTATGTCTTTGCCTTGCTTCATCGACCTCCATCGTAATCTCCACATATGCCGCAGCTTCCACCAGCTTATCATACTCCCGATACACATGACCCATCACCTTCATTAGTATTTTAGGCTTTAACCTTTTCTCAAATTTGAAACACCGATGTTACTTATTGGATATTGCATTTGGCATTTGTATATTTTCATGATTCATGTTCCTTTCCCTCTTTTCATATATTTTTATTGGGGTGAAAGTTTAGAAAATAATTTACATACAAAAACTTCGCATTACTCTAAATGAACTTATAATATTAATAGACAATCCATAATTAAACCAAATGCATGAATCACAAGGACACAATAATCTCATTAGTAGAAATGTAATTTTTGATATTTTTGTCATTCAAACATAGTTTCTAAACAAATAATGTGATTAGATTTGGAATGGTGTTTTTGTTCATTCAATTTTTTTTTCCCTCTTCAGAGTAATGCTGTGATGATTAAATTTTTATACCAAATTGACTTACCAATCAGACGTGGCACCTTTCACTGAATTATTATTTGTTGGTAATAATTGAAGATGAGAACCCATTGTTGTCAACTTTTAAATTGTTCAATTTCTATGCCATTATCCAAACAAAAATGCTATATACTTTAGAAGATATATATTAGAATAGTTCTCAAAAATTTTCAGCTCCACAATTTTGATAAAAAAAAAATGAGTAGTGGGTCCTTCTTATAATTGAATTTTATTTTTTTAGTTATAGTTATAATTGATGAATTTCGAAAAAAAGTAGTATTATAGTTTGCTTTCATATGGAATAATTATTGCCTTGCAGTTTCAAGTTTTGACAAAGTAGTATGCCTTTGGAAAATTTGTTGAGTAATTTAATTCTAACACTGCATTCAAGAAATTGTTGTATTTTAGTTGTAAGGATATATAATTAATGAAATTATTTTATGAAAATAATAATTTATTATTTTAAAGAACAATTTATTTATTTTTTCTCATTGACACAAGATCACTGTTAAACTATTAATCACCGAAAAAATCACCAACGTTGGAAAAGTCACTGGAAGTAGCCAGTGTCGACTGCCGACGAGGAGTGATAGTAGTGGTAGTGACATGGATAGATCGGTAGATTAGGTGGACAAATAATTGACATGTGGATACATAGGTATGATTGAACTGGCTGGTACCACTGTCTCTAACCTTGGCCTAACTGACAACTCCCAGAATTTTGGGACCCAGAAGTGTTCCCCTTTCCAATTAGTTGTGGGCAGGACCTTTTAATGTGACCCGATTGTCTACAATAGTAGTATGCAGGCGATTGGCCCCTTCCTTGGGGCTGGACTTTGAGAATGAGCTTGTTGTTGACGGCTAAGATTCCGATTACAATTTGAGGCCTTGTGGCCCTGCTGGCCACATAGAAAACAAGTGACACGGTTGGGGCCCGCATTTCCTAAACTTCTCATGGAAATGGATCCTGATGACTTGGTTAGTTGGGGCATGGACTGAGAAGATGAAAAAAAGGAACTCTTCGATTTCTTGGAAGATCCAAAATTGCCTTTTGATTCGACAGAGTTCAGCCTCTTATGCCTTTGCCTTGCTTCCTTAGCCTCCATCATAATCTCCACATGCACCGCAGCTTCCACCGGCTTATCATACTCCCGATAAACATGACCCATCACCTTTATTAGTATTTTAGGCCTTAACCTCTTCTCTAATTTGAAACACCGACGTTTTTTAGTAGCTACGAGTTTAGACGCAAAACGTGCCAAACTAGTGAACATAGCTTCAAATTCCGCCACTAGTGTGTCTAGTTGCCGTAACTCTTCGAATTGTTTCCTCAACCTTTCCCTGGCTGTAAGAGGCAAAAACATCTCTAGAAAGGCATGAACGAACGCCTTCCAAGTATGCTCCACTCTGTGCTTTACTGTCTTCCACCATTGACCGACCTCTCCTTTCAATTGATACGTCGCCATGGCCACCCTAAGCTCCCTATCATTGATGTCTAAAATCTCAAATGATTTAACAATCTACTCTAACCATTTATCCACCTTCATAGGATCAGGCTCGCCACTATACTCCACAGGGTTAGAGTGGAAGAATTCTTTCTTCAAGAAAGAGACTCGTGTTTCCCTTTCGATTGTCCTTGTCGCCTGCTCGGCTGGAAGGATTTCCATGGATTCGTGGAGGACGCCCGTCATCTCTCGGGCTAATACCCTCATTGCATCTTGGGCCGACAGAACAGTCGCGTCATTCTGCCCTACCCCTTCATCTTGGGGAGGGAGATCTTGCTGTGCTGGCGTAGCCCGGCGATCTCTACGGGGTCTACCTCGACCCCTTTTTCCTCATCCTAACATCCTATATGAGAACAAGGAAAAGAATTTAACTCTCAATCCACACACGATAGATGCTAACTCTCATATTACACACACCAGTTAAATGCACCATTGGGCAATTAAATCACATAAGGCATACCACATACTCACATAAACACATAGTGCACACATGAGTTACTTCCCCAGGACTTTAACTAGTTCCATGGCACTCAGAGATTTCCTAGTGGAAAAAAGCATTAATCAGGTGCCTTTCCAAAAGGATTTCAATGATTACAATGAACACAAGTCATGTCCTAAGAGTTTAACTCCATATTTACACAATCAAAGAAATTAATTTAAGACACACAAAACAATCCACTATTTCCCCTATCTAACGTAATAGCCCTTTGTAGCAAAGCCGCTTCCTACAAGCTTCAGGTATTCGACCCAGTTCGCTCTAATACCAAATTATGATGCCCTAAAAGACCATTTTCATATAATTGCACTTCCAAGTAATATCAACATATAAGATCTAGGCAAAATAAAACAATAGAACCATTTACTCATAGCTTTCTTTCCTTTTGAACTATTCCCAAAACGAAAGTTTACATAATTGTTCCATTATATTCCTCAAAACATTTAAAATAGTTCCAAAAAAAGAAGTAAGAAGTTAACACTAGTACTCCAAAAGGGCATCTTTCTTATCACAATGCTTTACCCAATGTTAGGTCACAAAAATCAATTTCAAAAAAAATACAATCATCATAACCACGTCCCCAAGAAAAATTTAACAAAACATGCTAGCTCTATTGGCATCATCGCTTGAGAGGTGTCTCGTCCTCAATTCCTGAAAATTGTTAGTTTTTGGGGTGAGCATAAGCTCAGTAGGTGATGCATTTAACAAATTATATAATCATTTGAAAAAATTATGCATCATGCAATACCGTTTATGGGAATGTATGAAAAGAAGGTAAAACAATGCCGAAGTATGCTATTGTTATGATTCAATGTATTGTACATGTCTCATCTTTCCCACATTCTGAACAGACAGTAGCTCAGCGATGACATCCACAGGTAAGAGCCCAAAATCAAACATAAATAGATTATTATAGTCATATATAGAAAATAATCTCACATTTGCCAACTCCAGAAACGATAGGACGATGGGCACCCAAAACATCACAACCTTCTACATTTGCCAGCTCTGTAAACGACGGGGACATGGACACCCAAAACCATCCATTTTCCACATTTTTCGACCCCAGAAACGGTGGGCTCATGGACACCCCAAAACCTTTTCCCACATTTGGCCGGCGATATGGACAGACTGGACAATTGGGCACCTTGACTCCCTGCACGGGTACCAAATACAATACACAACTCAAATCCAACCCGACTCACTACCCGAATTCATAGACTATTTACCCTCTTCCAACTTTCAACCGTATACACAAAAGTAGAACCAAAAGAAATGAATAATGGATATGATGCATGAATTTATAAACAATGCATTATTTTCAGAGTGGAAGAATTCTTTCTTCAAGAAAGAGACTCGTGTTTTCCTTTCGATTGTCCTTGTCGTCTGCTCGGCTGGAAGGATTTCCATGGATTCGTGGAGGACGCCCGTCATCTCTCGGGCTAATACCCTCATTGCATCTTGGGCCGACAGAACAGTCGCGTCATTCTGCCCTACCCCTTCATCTTGGGGAGGGAGATCTTGCTGTGCTGGCGTAGCCAGGCGATCTCTACGGGGTCTATCTCGACCCCTTTTTCCTCATCCTAACATCCTATATGAGAACAAGGAAAAGAATTTAACTCTCAATCCACACACGATAGATGCTAACTCTCATATTACACACACCAGTTAAATGCACCATTGGGCAATTAAATCACATAAGGCATACCACATACTCACATAAACACATAGTGCACACATGAGTTACTTCCCCAGGACTTTAACTAGTTCCATGGCACTCAGAGATTTCCTAGTGGAAAAAAGCATTAATCAGGTGCCTTTCCAAAAGGATTTCAATGATTACAATGAACACAAGTCATGTCCTAAGAGTTTAACTCCATATTTACACAATCAAAGAAATCAACTTAAGACACACAAAACAATCCACTATTTCCCCTATCTAACGTAATAGCCCTTTGCGGCAAATCCGCTTCCTACAAGCTTCAGGTATTCGACCCAGTTCGCTCTAATACCAAATTATGATGCCCTAAAAGACCATTTTCATATAATTGCACTTCCAAGTAATATCAACATATAAGATCTAGGCAAAATAAAACAATAGAACCATTTACTCATAGCTTTCTTTCCTTTTGAACTATTCCCAAAACGAAAGTTTACATAATTGTTCCATTATATTCCTCAAAACATTTAAAACAGTTCCAAGAAAAGAAGTAAGAAGTTAACACTAGTACTCCAAAAGGGCATCTTTCTTATCACAATGCTTTACCCAATGTTAGGTCACAAAAATCAATTTAAAAAAAAATACAATCATCATAACCACGTCCCCAAGAAAACTTTAACAAAACATGCTAGCTCTATTGGCATCATCGCTTAAGAGGTGTCTCGTCCTCAATTCCTGAAAATTGTTAGTTTTTGGGGTGAGCATAAGCTCAGTAGGTGATGCATTTAACAAATTATATAATCATTTGAAAAAATTATGCATCATGCAATGCCGTTTATGGGAATGTATGAAAAGAAGGTAAAACAATGCCGGAGTATGCTATTGTTATGATTCAATGTATTGTACATGTCTCATCTTTCCCACATTCTGAACAGACAGTAGCTCAGCGATGACATCCACAGGTAAGAGCCCAAAATCAAACATAAATAGATTATTATAGTCATATATAGAAAATAATCTCACATTTGCCAACACCAGAAACGATAGGACGATGGGCACCCAAAACATCACAACCTTCTACATTTGCCAGCTCTGTAAACGACGGGGACATGGACACCCAAAACCATCCATTTTCCACATTTTTCGACCCCAGAAACGGTGGGCTCATGGACACCCAAAACCTTTTCCCACATTTGGCCGGCGATATGGACAGACTGGACAATTGGGCACCTTGACTCCCTGCACGGGTACCAAATACAATACACAACTCAAATCCAACCCGACTCACTACCCGAATTCATAGACTATTTACCCTCTTCCAACTTTCAACCGTTTACACAAAAGTAGAACAAAAAAGAAATGAATAATGGGTATGATGCATGAATTTATAAACAATGCATTATTTTCCTATTAATTCATAATAATCCACCTCTTCACATTTCATAATTGAAGGATCTATCATCAAGCAATCATCATCTTCTTCTCAAGGTTTACATTAAGAAGGAACCTCCAATCTTACATTTCAATCTCAAAGTCAAGCAATTACACTCGGTTTCATGTTTTAGAAATCAATTGAGCAAAATCCCTTTTTATAAATTAAATTTGAAAACTAGGGTTTGAGTAAAATTAGGGTTTTTGTCTCCATTATGAAATTGAGTTAATTATCCATCATAAACAATGATATTCCATCATAATAAGTTTAACTCCTTCAACAATCGCAGACTTTCACCCTCATTGATCACAATCTTAGTCAACAAGCTCAAATCAAAACATATGTATATATATATATATACACATATAAATGACTCGCGAAAAATACCTGTAGATGTCCCCGAACGCCCCGGGAGAAATCCCATTTTGTTCATTTGGGCTCACTACAGTTCAGGACTCAATGTCACGGTCCTGTATCTGATCTCGCAAAGTGCAATGCAAGATTGATAAATCACCAAAGAGTCCAAATCAGGCAAATCGTTTTGAAAAACTGATTTTTAAGAAAGAAGTGCCAAACATGGACTGCTTTGCCAGATACAGAGGGTTCGTTTGGTTTGCATTTCTGAAAAATTTTTGGGAAATTTTCTCTACAAATAAGTTTTTAAAAGTAATCAAACCAAACAAATTTTCACAAAAAAATTTCTCAAAACTTGTAAACCAAACAAGTTTTCCAAACAAATCTCTCTCTCACACACATCAAATCAATCACTTTTTCCAAAACTCTATCTCAAAATAATTTTCCAAAACATCTTTTGAAAAAAACCAAACCAAACAACTTTTCGTATTGTGAGCACCCCCGCTCGCCCGATCAAAGATCGGTCTCTACTAACCATGATATCGAGTTTTGAAAACATTATGTGCTCTTATTCCGGTTTATTAGCCTAGAATTACCATGTGATGTGCACAGCATACAAGTATAGACTGGATCACCTAAGTTGGAACAAAACATCTCATGTTTGTTTTTGAAAGCGGTTTGCTACTCGCAAGTAGGCTAAACTGCGGATTTTGCCACCCTCAAGTGGGCTTAGAAAATATGGTGATTTGCCACTCTCAAGTGGGCTTAAAACTCGCAATCAATGAATTGTTCCAATTCAAATAATCCAACCTTCACCCACAAGCATTCAGGCAGTTATATCACATAAGCACATAGCCTCATGGTAAGCATGTTATCATGGTAGTCACTCACACACATGCAAGGATGCTAAAGCATAAACACTTACCGAGTACTCTGAGCCAAAGAAAGAAGCTAATTAGAAATCATGCATGAATCCTAATTGTGCTAAGAATGCCTAATGCAACACACGCAAAAATGCAACTACAATAGGCTCGACTATTCTAAGATGGCATATGAGATGCAACAATCGATACATGTATTCAACTTGGAATTGAAATACAATGTAGTTAGCATGATGCACCGAGGCCGGTGCATGCAATACAGATGAATGAATGCAAACATGCGAACATATAGATGCTAATTGAAACATGCCCTAAAATTAACCATCATAAGCTGGTAAATAGAAGGGAGAAAGACGTGGGGTT